TTGCCCTCTTTCCAAACATGTCTTTAGAATCCCATCTGAAGAAGTCAGCAATAAAAATATATCTACAGTTAAGTGGAGATGGCATGTTTAGGGAGGCCATAGTAGTTACTGTTTTAATAGAAAGACTTCCTTTAAGTCATTTAATCTTCGTAGTGTACTGCTATAGATGTTAACTAGTTACATGAGAAAGGGATGGTGTGAAATGCTTCCTTTGGTCATTGTCCTGATAAGTAACATCTCACCTTCACTCCTTCACTTTTTTTTTTAATAATAAAATATCACAGACTAAATATAGACTCCTGTGTTTTTACTGGCAAAACAAGACAGGCGCAAGTAGATATATTTGACAGTCAGACTAGTGGGCATTAATATTAAAGTTTTACTTACTAAACTCCAGAATTAGTGCTGTATATTTGTTAAAGATACCTTCTGAGCATCACTGTGTCTTATTCAACTTTTTTATTTTTGTTTACAAGAGACAATGTTGGCAACAGAGCTCACAGCATGAGTCTAAAATTCCAGTCATCTTAAGTCACTGTTTCCATGTGGCTTACTTGAGACATATGAGATACTAAAATTAGTTGCAAAGTAACTCACGTTCATAGTAACTTCAGTTATTCAGTTCAAGAACCCAACCAGTTATTTTTTTGTCTTTGAAGCAAATCACTTCACTTGCAAGTAGAAACAGTATATAGACATTAACTCAGCCTCCTACCTGGCAAAAACCTTATTGGTGTGAAGGGCTTAGTACAGAAATGGAATGTAAGCCATTTGAGTTGTTTTTCTAGTGAAATATTTTGATGCAGTTGTTCAAGAGTTGTAGTGGAGAAACAGAAGGGAAAATTGACTATGCCTGTGCTGGAAACAAAAGTATCTTTTTCATAAACCTGCTACATTAAGAAAGAGAGTTCAGATAAACATGGTAAAAAAAAAAAAAGGGGGGGAAATATTGCCCTTTAATGTTAGAAATTCAAAAAAATGTCAGTTGGCTTTCATTCAAATACTCTGTTAGTTCTGCTGGCCCTTTTTCAGACTCCAATGATATCTGCACAGAAGGATTTGCTCAACAGTTACTCTGAAGCAATCTGTAAATATGGAAGCTGATAGAACAACTAACTTTTTTCTGTCAAAAGCAGGAGTCTTTGGTCTCTGTTGTGCAGCTCCCTCCCATCTGAATAATAATAATAATAATAATAATAAAGTTTTTTTTCTGATTTTTCTCTCTCCGTTTTTTTGTTTTTTTTTTTTTTTTTTTTTTTTCCCTGGGACTATGCAATTATTGTGTCAAGCAATTTTAATATTTCAGTGTGACAAATCAGAAGGGATTGCTAAGGTCTACAGCAGTGAGCCTTTCTAAGGCCAAGTTCCTCGCAACTTTCCTTCATCCCACAGAGGCATGCTGTGCTGAGGTGTCTTGAAAGTCTGTGCCATTTCTCAGCTGTCAGCTCTCTTCCCAAGATCCCCATCCATTAGTCCTGTAGTTATAAATTACAGCTCTTCATTAAACAGAATCACAAAATCACAGAATGGCCAGGGTTAGAAGGGACCTCGAGGCTCATGAATCTCCAACCCCCCTGCCACATGCAGGGCCACCAACCTCCACATTTAATGCTAGACCAGGCTGCCCAGGGCCCCATCCAACCTGGCCTTGAACACCTCCAAGGACGGGGCGTCCACAACCTCTCTGGGCAGCCTGTTCAGCACCTCACCACTCTCTGGGTAAACAAAGCTATGACTGGTAAAGTAGTGTTCTCCTATTCTGTTACAGAATCATAGAATCATAGAACTGTTTGGGTTGGAAGGGACCTTTAAGACCATCTAGTTCCAACCCCCTGTTATAGGCAGGGACACCCCCTTCTAGACCAGATTGCTCACAGCCCCATCCAGTCTGGCCTTGAATGCCTTCAGGGAGGGGGCACCCACAACCTGTTCTGAAATACCTTAAATTTGGAGAGCCTTCATGCAGTTCTCTAGTTCAAGTTAATGAATGAAAGCAACAGAGGGACCTAAAGGCAAAAAATGCAAAGGGATTCATATGTGCAGATGCCTCAGTATTACTATAATGATTTATGAGACTCAGCAAAAATGTTTAGTGAATCTTCTTATGGTGATGTTACATTGACAGTTGCTGCTTCTACTCCTATTCACACTGGAAAAAAAAAAAAAGAAAAAAAAACAAAAGAAAAGAAAACACAAAGGGGCTTGGATTTTGGTTATAAGAAGACAATGCTAAGAGATACAATCAAATTTTACAGTTAGAAAAGCTCTACTTAAGCTGAATGCAAAATACGTTTCTTAGCCCAGTGTGCAATGAGCTTTGGGAATCTGCTGCCTAAGCAGGGTGGAAAATATGCAGCATTAGCAGGCACATAAAGGTAGACAACAGATCCATAAAGAGGTTCTAAAGGGAATTGGTGAATATTTGCCATCTTTGTACAGAGCAGATGTAGCATCTCTATTGCTGCAATTGTTAATGCTTGCAGTGCATGATGGACAGAGAATAGGCAAGTCTCCCTGTGTAATATCTCTTTTGCTGTTATTTTTGTTTTATACAGGGGAATATGGCAATCTCAAATTGTGCATTTAAGTTCCCTGCATTGGAAAAAAATTGAACTGGAGGTGCAAGGCATCAGCCTCTTTGGCAGTGCTATGTTCCTAACTGTGCCACTGCTGCTTATCAAATTATGAACAAGATGGACTGCTGATCTGACCCAGAAGGGCATCTTCATGTATATTTCTGTAACTAAGGCACAGAGCATCCTTTGTACTCTGCAGTTTTCTTACCATGTTTTTACACACAGTTGTGAGAAGAATACAGCTCTGAAAGATTGTCTTTGGGATTTCCATCATCATCCCTGGAACACCGAGATGTGAACAGTGCCTTCAACAAACACAGAACTGTGTGGTGCTGGCTTTCTGTATGTTATGCTGTAAGTTAAACACATGCTTTGTACAGGCATTTCTAATCTTTCTCAAGTTTCTGTAACATCATACATTTATCTTTACTTTTGTCTGTGCTCTTAGATGGGGGCAGAACCAGTAAAAAGAATCCTGCTACCAGTCATCCTTGTGAGATGTAACATTTCAGGTCGTATATTAGGAAGAGATTCTTCTCAGGAGTGGTGAGGCAGTGGCACAGCTGCCCAGGGAGGTGGTGCAGTCTGTCCCTGGGAGGCGTTCAGGAGCCGTGTGGATGTGGCACTGAGGGACATGGTCAGTGGGCATGGTTGGGGTGGGCTGGAGGTTGGACTTGATGATCTTAGAAGTCTTTTCCAGCCTTAACGACTCTACGATTCTGAGCCCACCCTCAGGACCACAGCCCATGCTCAAGCAGGTCGCATAGCGTGGCAGTTTTATTTCAGGACTGCACCAAGAGGGCTCTCGTTTTACCCTCCTTCACATCGAATATCGGCCCGTAACATTTTCCAAAAGCGTTTTCTGAAGAAACCCGCCGTTCAACATGCCCAGGAGCACTGAAGGACCTCCTCCCTCGTGCTGCCCGCGCTGCCTCCTGTGCTCGAACCGCGGCCTCGCGGCGCCTCCTGACGGCCCCACGGCCGCTGTCACCTCCTTGCGCGCCAAGCGGCCCCGGGCGCGGCGGGAGGGTTGAGGGCGGCGGAGCGGCGTCGGACGGGCTCCCCCGTGAGGGCTGAGCGCGGTACTGCCGCCGGGATGAGCGAGCTCGGGACTGAATGGAACGCGCTGCTGAAGGCGGCGTCCCGGTTCTGTCCGATGGAAGGGAACTACGAAAAGAAGGGAGCGTCTTCTCCAGAAGGTTGCGTTCCGAAATGCTGAAGTGGTCCGGACCGTGGCCTTTCTGAGCGTGGTCCCCTCCCAGCACTCAGCGCCAGACCTCCTCCTGTTGGGAGCTGGAGTGTGAGGTGCTGCCCTAAGCCCTTCCACAATAAAAATGCCTGCAAACAGTGTGGCAGCACGACGGCTGCTTCCATAACCAGACACGCTCCTCGGTCGTTTCAGCGCCGTGTGAAAATTTGGCTTTTCAGGTTTGTGCAAGTGCTGCACAGTTTGCAGACAGTCCTGGCACGGCCGCCGACACAGCCTCTGTCAAGGGATGAGGATGCTAGCTTAAAACCAGCCGTGCTGATGACAGTGTGCTGGTGTGGTCAGGAGCTCCAGGGAGCTTAGTTAAGAATTTGGAGCAGCAGCCGAGAGCACCTCTGCCTCTGCAGTCCTTATCATCGGTGCCCACAGCAGACACAGCCCCAGGCCGTTCCCGGTGGCTCTGCTGAGAGCAGCGTTCCCGCCTTTGGAATCCGAACACTTTCAGCACTTCTGCTTTCTCCCCGGGTGTCATTTCCAAGCGCAGCACTTCATCGGTAGCAGTGGGGAGAATTGCATCACTGTTCGGTTCACGTTTCCCTGTCAGGATGCCTGTGAAGCCGTTGTGCTCGCTGAAGCCAAACCGAAAGGTTTGCTGAGCTCTGCCGCTGCTTTTTCTGCTCCTTCCCCGCAGCGAAGGGACTTTACCCCTTATGGTTTTATACCGATTCCTTCACAGTCCGTGGAAAATACTGATTTCACTAATTTCGTATTACGCAGCGATCACCAGATGAAGGCTCACCACAGACAGCGGAGCTCTCCCCGTTGGAGCCCTGGCTCCGTCCCTGCCCGCGGTGCCCCCGCGGTGCCGCTCCGCCGACCTCAGGACCCTGGAAATCCCGGGTCGGGTTCCCAAACGCCGCTCGTCCGCCTTCAGCCGGGATTACCGAGCGCCGTGCTGACCCGCTTTGGGGAGTCACGGGCCGCCTCGGGCTGCGGAACGGGGCCGGGGCTTCCCCGTTGCTCTCTCCTGCAGGCGGAGCGCGGCGGGGCCGGGGCCGTTCGCGGAGCGCGGGCCGGTGGAGCGGCGGAGGTACTGGCCGGCAGGGGGCGCTGCTGCCCCGCCGCTGCCCGGCTCTGGGCCCGCTCGCTTCCCCCGCGGTTCCATTGGAGCAGCCGGAGACAAGTTGGCGCCATTTTGAAGCCGACAGGGGGACCGGGGCGAGCTGCGGAAGGGGAGGGGGTTAGAGGCGATTGGCTGCGGCGACGGCGGCAGCTCCTCTCCGAGCCCGGAGCGGCGGCAGCGCGGAGCGGACCCGCCTGGGACCAGCGACGAGAGGCGGTTGCGGCGGGGTAAGGAGCCCGGCTCGGCGACCGCGCGCACCCCCACCCCGTCCGCCGCTCCATTTTCCCTTCTCCGCGGCGGGGGCGGGGGGCGGCAACTCGGACTGCGCTTCGCGGGCAGCGCCTGAGGAGGAGCGGGGCGAGGGCTCCCCGCGGCCGAACCCCCATCCCCCCCAGCTCTCCGCGGGGCTGCTCCCCTCCCCCCCCCCCTTCCCCGTGGCCGCCGTCGCAAATTAAATTTGCCGCTCCCTTCCTACCCCCCTTACTCCCCCACCCCGCCACCCCCAGCCCCCGGGGCGCGGCGGGGCCCTGCGGGGGGCTGACCTTGGCCGGGGTGCTCTGGGGCTCGGGGTCGCCCTCCGGTGCCCCCCGCGCCCTCCCCGGGTGGCCCGGCGGAGGATGGCGGCGGGAGGCCGGCTGTCCCCTCCCTGCCCCTCACCGCCCGCCCGGGCTGCGCCCGCGGCTCCGGCGCTCGGTAGAGAGAACCCCCGACCCTTTGGGTCCCCCCTCGCCACCCTCCTCAGCCGCGCGGACCTCGGCTCTGTGGGTACCTACTTGTGCCAGCCCGGTTCTTTCATGGTGGCTTTTTTTTTTTTTTTTTCCTTTTTTTTAATTTGTTCCTTTTCCCTCCCCCTTTGCATTAAGCTCTGTTAGAAGGCAGTCGAGAGGGAAGTGTGTGTGTGGGAGGGGGTTGGCCCTGCCTGTGAGGTGAAAAACTATGAATTTTACATCGGAATCGCCAGATGGAGAATGGTTAATTTATAGGTTGTGCATTGTTTACGTTGAGAGCCTCTGGTCAGGAATCTAGGGCTGTAACTTCACCCCGCTGCAAATAAATCACTATCTCTTCTTCAAAACAAATCAACAATTAATGATGGTGAACAAATCCCGGCGAACTGAACTGCAGCGGACCCGCTCCTCCAGAGCTGGGTTTGGCTGTGCGAACCTTCTCCTGACTTTTCGCTGCCTTCCTGCACGAGCGCTGAGAGCCGCGATCGCCCGGCTAGGCGGTGCTGCCTGCCTTAGCACAACTACCCAAGTATGTTCGTGTTGCTCTTTGTTTTGTGCTCGACGGGTAGGTGCTGGGCTGTAATTGATTTCTCTTTGCGGGAAATGGAATAGAAGGGGTGATTAACATTCGAGTGGCTTTATAGCTGAAAACGGCTGTCAAATCGCATTGTGGGGAGGAGATAAGATGACACGCATTCCTTCAGGTTTTTCCCCTTTCAAACTATAGGAATACTTCTGTTTTTAGTTGATAGAAATTTTGCTCAGTCCCTCTCTATGCCATATAGATGTGCTCTAGGTGCTATATACTTGTGTGAAAAGACACGAAGCAGCAGAATTTGTTATGTTTAGATTACCCTAAAAGAAAGCAGAGAGCGATCGGCAGCTCAGGATAGTTGAGCTGAGGTGCGCACATCACCTCCATGTGAAAGCATGCGCTGCTGGAGGAAGTAGTTTGGTACTTGTGTGACATCTTGTGTCTGCGTTTGAGGCAGGGTTGTACTTCACTGTGATGTAGGGGCTGATTTCATTTTGTACTGAGTTCTTATGCGTTGTTGATTGTCTGTGTTTTTCTTGTGTTCTCTGTACTACCTATTCAGGCTAGTAGTTTTTGGTGGAACAGCTATGTAAATTGAAATGGAAAGTTGCATGTCTGTAGTACTTGTGTGCTGATGAATTGTTTTAATGTGTGTCATTTAACTATTGGCTTTGGAGTGTTTTTAGCAGGCTTACTTATGGACTTATTGAGCAAGTCAGCTAAATTATTATTAAGGAGTAATTAAAGATATCAAAAAAGTTACTGCTAGCATTCAGGAAGGTATTGCCATGAGATATGGACGTGACCATGGGCATTATCCAATTTTGGCTTTAAGCAGGAAGCTGTGTTACCTCCTGCAGATCATAAGAGATGCTTTTTCTTTTGAGATAATTTGCCATCTACCAGGCTCTCAAATTATACTTTTCTTTCTCATTCTTTCTTCAGGTGCACAGTTTATATTCATACAGCACAGTAAAAGTTTGTATGAGTATTTTTAGGAGTCTCTTAGTAAAGGGTCTTCATTTAAAGCTTGCTGGAGCAAGTGAATGCTTTTTCTTGAAGTCTGTGTTGGAAGAGGTGATGCAGGCTACTTGTTGAACATGGATAGGTGGCAGGGGGACAGTGAATGAGAAAATGTGGAGCTGAACACTAAAAGCATGTAAGGTGGAAAATAAAGGAAAATATGATACAAGTGAGACTAATTATTTTTCCCTACCGGTTTCATTCAAATTTCCTTCTGCTTTAATGTTACTTAGAGAGAGGTATGTATTTGAGCTTCCTTTATATAGTCTTTTTTCCTTTCCTTCAGACAAATTCCCTTACTAGAACCAAACCACGTACGTCCTGATACTGACAAGTGGTAGGACAGTGTGTCATACCTGTTACAAGTTGCTCAAGTAGTGGTGTTCTCACTCTTAGCATGAAATACTGCTATCGTAAGCTGAAAGATTATATTACTGAAATATTGGTCAGTTATGGAATTAGTTGGTAAGGGAGAACTGAGGAAAATCATTGCTTTTTTAAAAAACTTGAGTGCCGCCATCCTTGGAGGGGAAGCGTTGGGTTGGCTTACCCTGCTTTGTGGTATTGCCTGGACTAGTTGAGCAGTGCTGATGGATCCTAGAAGGAATGGTGTGCAAGCTTGTGAAGAATTGCAATCTATGTGCTTTAAACAGAACAGTAAAACCAAACCAAAACTTCTTTGCTGTCATCTGAAAGTTGAAGCTGTACCTATGTAAGCCAAGTACCTATTGCTCTTCCATTGGTGATGTCTTCAGTTGAATGTAGTCTCCTAGAAAACTTGATTTTTTTTTTTTAATTTTTAGTTCTGAAATGTAAAATACATCAGAAGGGCAGTGTGTAAATGGAAATAAACTTTATTTTCACAAGTTAGTGGGTTGTTTAAAAAAAAAAAACAACAAAAAGCAAAAACAAAATAGACCTGGAACACTTCAGATTCTGTAATACAGTGCAATTAATGTCAATAATTAGCATGACACATCTAACTCGAAACAATTCAATGAAACACAACTAATATTTTAACACTGATTCTTAGTAAGGATGGAGGAGTAAACTTTTATAGATTGTTACCATCTCTGCATATACTTCTCTCCATCTTTCTTTAAAATGTGGGGAAATTTATGGTTCTCAGAGTGGATTCTGAGGGTTAGAATTGGTTGCCATCAGTGGAATTTACTTCTGTATTTTGTCCCAAGCGCTGGAAGACATTCTGTAGCATTATCCTTGTTTTATACTGCCTGATATTCAGCTCTGTAATTTCAGCTCATGACAATTTCAGTATAAATATGGTTCAAAAGATGATTTGGGGGGGGGGGGGTTGGGGAAGGGAAAAAAAAAAAAAGCCATACCTCATTGGGAACAGATGGACGTGTTTGTAGTAATCATCTTGTGTCTGTCACCATTTATATGGCAGTACCGTAACCAGGGATCAGGACCCCATCTGGGGTTTTCTAATTTATACCCTGTTCTTCTGAGATCAATTCCAGACAGTCCTAACTGTGTACTTTTTCTCTGACTTAATTAGGAATCCTGGTGGATGCTGTTTCTGCTGAAACAAGATGCTTCACTTCTGTATCTTTTAACGGACAAAATTAAGTTAGCAGTTAGAAAATGTTATTGTCTTCACTGCTTTTGTCACCTAAACTGCATTTCATAGCTCTGTTAAGGAGCAGTAGATTCAACTAAGGTCTAATTGTTAAGCACCTTGAAAGTGACTGCTGAGTGAGATTTTCCAGCTTTTGTGTAGATTTACTCAAAATCAGTTGTCCACAGCTTCTTTCAAAGCAGCCTCTGGTTGTGTGTGAGGCATCCCTGGTGTATCCGCATTGACATCAATTCAACGTCAAGAATTTGGTTTCTGAGAGTCTTAGGAGAAGGAGAAGAACCCCAAAAGCTGTTATTTGTGCTGAGCACAAATGTATTACTCTAAGTGAAGACTTAGAACAAAACAAAAGCCTTCAGAACTGCGTGTGTAATTTTTGTGCCACCTTGAATTTGGCTGTTTCTGTTAGTACTGCTTTGTTACTTGGATATGGAGTTGCTGTAAAGACAGCCAGATTTTTGGGAACACGTATGTTAGGTTTCTGTTCTTATCAGAAATAAGGAGTTGAGATGTGTTGCTCTTAGTTAGGATGCGTGAGCATATTATGGATTGTTGTTGTTTATTATTTTTAATTGTCCCCAGAGGATTTATTTTCCTGCATCTAACTACTTAAAATTTGTAAATTTTTGTTGGGAAAAGAACCAGCCTAACACTGCCATATATCTGTAGCTGTGATACTGTCTTGGGTAATTGCTTTGTTTGACAGTTCACTATGAAACATTGCATGCAGTTTGTTAAGACTTCTGTACACAAAAACAAGGTGGGTGGAAGAGGCCGTAGCATCAGTCTGTGATGGTGTATGGGACAGTCAATGTCTGTGGGCTTTCCGGGTGCCACTCATGGTATTTCAAAGGGAAACAGACAAGTCATGAGTATCTCATTCATGGTTTGTAGTAAAGTTAGGTTGGGTTTTCTTCCTGTTGGGAGTATGAACTAGTCAGAATAAGGCTGTAACATTTTGCTTTATGGAAATGGAGGAAAGAATGAATAAGCCAATTCTGTACCTTTTAGAAGATGTTGAAGGAGTTTTTCAGAATGAAAGTAAGAGACGGGCACATTTCCCTTCGCTTTACCCAGCTTACATTACACAGTCCACAGTTTTCTGAAGCATATCCATAACTGAGGGAATTAAGAATGGAGATTGCCCTGCATGTACAGTTTTCTGAAATAAATATTCTGTCCTCAGTCGCAATGAGAGTGCTCTGAGAACTCGAAACATTTTGAACCTCTTCTCCCTGTTGCCTGTATGTACGTTGCCTGTAGTGAACTCTCCATAGGGTTGTTTCATGCAGTGTTATGTACATTTAGAGTAACATTTTTATTTCTTAATCGTTGTCCACT